AGCAGAGTCATCTTTATTTTTGTATGCAGTAGGCTGCGTTCTGCTTTGCTTTATACCACATATAACTATCCATTGGGCTGAGTCAGTTCAGGATTTTGACTCTCTGTGAAGGAGATATGCTAGCATATCTTGGGGTGTCCTTGAGAAAAAGTAAACCCTCCTCCAGCAAAATAAAGCCCAACGAACCAGACTTTGGCCAGGTGTGCCTGTTTGCCTGTTTCACACACACACACACACACACACTCTCGTCCTGTGGTTCAATTCAACAAGACAAAAAGAGTATACAAGTGGTGAATGGAATGCCTCCCCCACACGCTTTTGAAAACCTCTCAGTGCATTTAGTGCAAGCTTTAGAAAGAGCCAGGTCACCAGGTGTAGCGTGGCCCTACCTGTCTGGTTGAGGCAAGGTGTGTTTCTTTGAACTCCCTTTCCCACATGAGTCACTCAGTTCTGGCTCATTTCCCCCTCATTTAACAAAGGGAGGGGGAGGGAAAAGGGCTGGAGAGAAAGCTCATGCCATGAACCTCTGTGGAGGAGTGTTTGGAAAGCAATATAGCAGGCCCCACTCTTGGAAATGAGCTTTGGCCAACAATTTTGCTAACAACCCAGTGTATTTGGTTTTTGTTCAAGGATGCTTTACAAGGGAGAGCAGTATTTTCACCTGGTTTTGTCCTACTCAGTCTTGGCCTAACTGAACTCTGCTCCCACTTAAGTCAACAGGCCTTTTAGCACTGACCTTGAGTGGGGCCCTGTTCCCTTTATACAGCTGTGTCAGAACAGAGCAGCTGTATAGCTCTTTTCATTCTCCACAGACATGTGCTTTACCAGTCGCTAGCCTCTGGCTATGCTGTGTCAGAAGATAGCCGAAGGGGGTGGGCGCTCTTCCCTACCTCTCAGGGCCATTGGGAGAATTGATAGATTAGAGCGTGTCAGGTACTGAGAGACTACTGCAGACTATACCAGTACCTAGGATAGGTAGGTAGATAGCAGCTGTCCGGCTTTGTTCTTGGTTATCTTAAACATTTCAGTTATATTCCATTTTGAAAATAACCCATGAAAGGTGAGGGAGGAGTCAGGGGACCACATATATTATTCCACCTGGCCTCTACCTTGAATAATTTTTTTAAGGGACATAATTTCATTAAGTGCTTCATCCTGCATACATTGAAGTCAGTGGGAAAGCTTCCAGTGACTTCTCACGTTGCAGGTTCAGACACTAAGGCACAGGTCCACAGAAGTACTCAGCTGTATAAGTCTTGGGTTTAGGGGCCTAAATCCCAGTTTTGGCTCCACTGTGATCCACAAAACTCCTGTTGCATCCTAGTTTTCAAACTCAAAGTTCCCTACACGCCTGTGCTTCTGCCTCTGGGTGTGTGCACCGCCACCTCCCTCTTGGCATCCAGCCACCTATCTCCCATTTAAGCCCCATAGCGAGTCACAACCAGGAGAGATTGGCATTTGGCTACCTCAGGCCCCACATGTGACTTGTCTGGTAGGCATAGGCAGAGACTGCCTACCGGCAGCAGGGGAAGATGGAGGTGGAACAGCTCACCTATGGAACAGGTTCGTCAGGAGAGGATGAGGGAGCCCCACCTCAGAATATCCCAGAGCTCAGCAGTGAAAGCTTTCTCCTGAAAGGTGGGAGACCCCTGTTCAAATCCTTTCTCCCCCTCGGGTAGAGAGCCAGAGCCGGAGTCTCCAGGCAAGTGCTCGAACCACTTTTAAAAAGGTATAAGGTGAGTGCCTCATCCTCTTGATAAGCTGCCTGACTCCAAGCACCTATCTCAGAGAGGGGGTGGGGCTTAGCACTCGCCTCTGTCCTCGGCATCTCCCACTGCCCGATTTAGGCCACTCCCTGCCTTGCCAGCTGGCTTTTATGGATTGCATACTTGGGCACCTACCTCTCTCCATTCAGTGTATAGTAAGTCTAGGCGCCTAACTCAGGCTTGGTGAAGGATCGCAGTGTTGGTCCTCAGTGGTTTTCTAAGTAGCTCAGGCCTTTCGGTGAAGCCCAGCAAACTCAATGGGCTCGCTTTCATCGATGTCAAAGAGCTTTGGATGAGGCCGCAAGGCCCTGATTCAGTCAGTTTTTGAAGCATTGCCCTCACTGTGCCCATGCCTACACTTAAAGATGTGTGCGCGCTTATGCACCTCGTTGAATCAGGGCCTAAACTCCTTGAACTGCTTTGAAAATATTTACTGGTTTTTTAACCATGTTAATCAAGAGATTTGGAGTCTGCTCTCAATTAGAAGCAAAGGTATTGATTTTAATGAGAGCTGAATTGAGCCTTTTATGATCAAAATATGAAAAGGGGGTGAGATCCTCAGGGGAGGTAAAAATCAGATTGGTTGGTTTAAAAGCACATGGCTGTAAATAGAAGCAATCCAGAGCCAATGAGTGAGTGCTGCTAGAGACTGGTTAGGGTCTGGAATGAGCTCTTTGACAGCAGCCTAATCCAGAGTCTGACTCCCTTCCAGCCCCATTGCAAGGCCCTCTTGTGTGAGAAGACTTTCCCTCCGTAACCAGGAAGAAGCGATTGGGAGGAGGAACTAACGGGGCATGGTCTAACTGGTTCAACCCAAGGAATTTTCTTCTACGAGGGAAAGGAAGAGAGCAGACCTCTCAGTGCGGTATACTAGCAAGCTCACTCTGCATCACTAATTAATTTAGAAAGCATTTAGATGCTACCGTCCTGGGTGGTAGAGGAAACCCTACTGAGAGTGTTCTCGCAAGGCTGATACCATTTTGACTCTTACCTAAAATGATGCATCTTTGAATTCTCGGTGGAATCTTAGTTCAATCGTTGTCAAGATTAGATGTCTTGGGAGTCGCAAGAGAAACAGTGGTGCATGGTCTTATCCCACATGCTGATCAAAGATATATTTTCTCTTGCTGGCTTGATCACAGATGGAGACTCTAAAACAAGCTTCTCACCGTTTATTACACACAACAGATGATGCCTACATTCATGTCAATGCTGAGTTTGCATCCAAAGCAAAGGACTTAGCTTTATCTTTGTTTTTTTTTGGTCACCACGTGCTCCATCAGTCAAATGACAGGTTCCCTTTTGGAGAAACTGCTGTCTATGGACCCTGAATGCCCTGGTAATCATCTTATCCCCACTGGCACTACTGGAGAATGGATATCCAGGTTCCAGATAAATCACCCCTGTAATTTCACTTTAAGTTGTGTGCTGCTCTCACTCCCTTTCCACGGCTCTGCCCTTTTGAGCTCGTGGACTGCTCAGTGAATATAGTTCCTCTGGATTCAGTGGCTTTAAGTGAGAGTTTTGAGAACTATTCACCTTTCAGAGGTGTGTAGCATTTCATTTCAGGTGCTTGAGTAGTCTGATGACTTGAAAACTCCTGCTCTGCTAGCCAAGCGCCATAAGATCAGGATGATCCACCTGTTTCGGAAGTATCAGGAGTTGGCCACTGCCAAAGGAAGATTCTCCGTCTCTATCTTTCCCCTCCAGCCACTCACCAGTACTCATTAGCCAGGTGTGCAATGCTTGACCAGGGGTTAGCATCCCTTTGAAAGAACTCAATATTTTAAGGATGGGGCTAACCTTAGCTTGGTATGTCAGGGCTCTCCATACCTCATAGTCAATCCAATTGTGTTGGATTTGGGAACATTAAAATGCCAGGGGGTGAAATTCAGTTGGGGCATAAGTGAGCACAACTCCTGTGAAAGCTGATGAAGTTGTGTCCACAGCGCCCAGGCTGCATTTAGAGCCCAACTCCTCAGCTGCCTCCTCCTCTTACCATTTTTTAAGAGTGGCATTCACCCCACCTTCCCTTTCCATTGCATCCAGGGCATTCTCTGCCTTTCACACGGGAACAGCAGAGCTGCATGGGAGGAGAAGGGAAAGTGATGAGACTCGCATCCCTGTCATCAAAAACTAAAGTTCATTAACATTCACAATAAGCAGCCTCCAGTTTGCCTGGGGCGGTGGAATTTGCATCCACTTTTACTTCGGAGTCCCAGGCCGCTGCACCTGCTCTCCTGCCATCAGGGCAGTGAGGCCAGCTAGGGTGACCAGACAGCAAATGTGAAAAATCAGGACGGGGATGGGGGGGTAATAGGAGACTATATAAGAAAAAAGACCCAAAAATCAGGACTGTCCCTATAAAATCGGGACATCTGGTCACCCTAGGCCCAGCCTCCTGGTAAATAGCATCTGCCTTTCCACAATAGGAACACCACACATACACAACACGGAGCCCACGCTTCAGGCCGCCGTTGCTTAATGCTATTTCTTCTTTTATTTACAAAGGCTTCATTCCAACTACATACATTAGAAATGCATGTCTAAGCCAGCCCAGTAGTCTAGCTGTGTTACACAATTCCCTTTTCCTGCAATCAAAACCAAATAAAGAGTGGGTGTCTGCAGGCAGCAAGTGTTTCAACATGGAAACTTCCTTCCTTTAAGTATCTTATGATCACATCACCATGTCATTGTATTTAAAAAGGAAAGACTGTAACAGTGTTCCCAATATTCTAACATTAGAAATATAAAATGCCTTGGACATTTCAAGGTTCCTCAGAAGTCCTGACAAGACGTCAACTGATGATGGCTGGAAGCTATGTTTGCTAGTCTCAGCAGAGACCGCCCCTGCTTGAAGGAATGAACAAAAGGAAAAAGATTCTAGAGAGACAGACTAACAGGAAAGATCCAATATCTTCCTCCCTCTTCCCACCAACCCTCTTAAAAAACCCTCCCTTCACCACCTAAGTTCCTTGCATTTTAATATCTGGCCCCATTAAAATATACCAATCAGTCCTTTCCAACACCTTGTACCATTCAGCAGCTGGCAATTCAGGACAACTTCCCTATCCAGAAACGGTGCTTATACATGTGCTTATCCTTGTGCGTATGTTTCATTGCTTGTCTGAATCAGGATGGACTGAAGCACATATTTCAATGTTGTCCCAAGTCAGGTCCTATATTGGTAGCTTAGAAGGGCACACTGTAGACACATCTGAAAGTCTAGAGAGATGCAGTGCAACATAAATACATGATTTTATTTTTTTCCATTTTTTAAATAGTGGCACGGTATTTACATGTCCCTTTGTTTAGCATGTGACTTCCCATCCAGGGCAGACTAAATCTACAGTTTCTCTTTATTCCCCAGGATTTTTCCTAGGATAAATAGAGTGGGTAAGTATTTGGAGTGACAACAGACATATTAGATGTGTAACAAAGTGAGCTATTTCACAGTCATAACAATGATAATCCAGGAAGCAAACACAAAGGAGATTTCTCTTTGACTACAGCTGTGAACAAAAACAATCTTTTTTGTTTCTTGGCATCTTACCATTTCAGTCACATTGGATTACATAGTCCAGTTGTTACCAAAAAAAAAAAAAAGCAAAAGTAAAAACGACAACTTAAATAACACAGAATTTGATATTATTTGTAATGCAGCCTGTGCAGTGGTTTCACAAGTAGAATTCAAGAAAACAAAAGCAATCAGATTGCTCAACTTAATACAGGAAGTAGTCATCAAGATGGAAATTTAGAGTAACAAAAGGCTACAGTAAAAATATAAGAATGTCTAGAAAAAGGTGGTAAACAGTTGAAAGAAAAAACCAAAACACCTTACTAGAAGATGTAAGATGGTCGCAGCTACATAGTTACTGTATTTTTCTAGTGCCTGAATTTCCTACCACAGCACTGATTCTATTATTACTTTTTTTAAAATATAACTTAGAATGACAACGAGTTTGCCAACCAGCAGCCAACTCAAAAACTTTATGGAAAAACAAAACAAAACAAAAAAATAACTATCATTAAAATGGGGGAGGGGGAGTCCCCACAGCAGCCAGTTTTTTGCTTTTTTTAAATCCAGTCCTATCCCTTCTTGGCAATGCTGACGCAAGCTGAGCTCCTGGCTGTATTCAGCATATTGGGAGCAGAAGTTCTTCTAATGCAGATTTGGGATTCAGCTGGAGGAACGGAAAGCCCTATAATCCAGTACCAAACCATGAAAGTCGTAGTAGCAGCAAGCGCCAACAAAACAAAGACAAAAATCCCATCCAGGTGTTATGAAATGATTCATACAAGGAATTTTGAGATCTTCAAAGGATTCGGTCATTCCTGTCCTCAATCAATAGCCAAGCGAGTTGTGATTTAACCTGATCTGTCCGATCTGAGAAGGTGCCAGTTTGTTCTTGAGTTAACTTGTTTTTATCTTTGCTGACATGTCTTCTCAATTGGCTGCACAGTTCCCATCACTTCGATGCCATTCAGTACACACACAAAATAAACCAAACCGGGTCCCTTCCTAGTCCACATCACACAGTAGCGGCAGGAGCAGCAGGCATCTCACATGTTAAACTCTGCCTAAAAGTGTTGACCTAAAGAGAGAGTGAGAGAGAGAGAAGAGTAAATAGCAGCATTCATTACAATGATGCAACTATCCCCAGATAGGCTCAGACTGCCTCCCATAACGCTGACCTCAGTTTTCTGCATTCTGATCACGTGTTCTGGCAGGTTTTCAAGGCCAGACTCTCTCTTTCTCTGTTGTTTTGTCTGAGTATAATCAGCACTGGGTGTGTGCATCCCCAGCCATCCATTTGCAGAGTAAGAGTTTTCCCTCCCCAATGGGTTGGCACTAGTCCCACTGAGCTGTTAAGTCTCCCATGATGCACAAGTGAGAAGAAAAACGTGCCTACAGAAGAAGCTAGCTGAACAGCAACCATCTGCTTACATCGGAAACAAAACCATAAAGAACTCTACACTGCAGAATACTCTCTAGTACGCCCACTGGGACCCTAAGAGTGGACAAGAGCAGTAAATGTATTACACCAGAGATGGCCTTATGCTTTGAGGGACCACAAGCGAGGAAGGCAGGTACTGCCAGGGGACATACTGGAGAAAATTGAGTCCTGGGTTCTTTTGCCACTGGAAAGAATTGGGGGTGAGGTGATGGGACTAGAAACAGCTTTAAAAAAACAAAAAACAAAGAAAACAAAAAAACACACACAACAACAACCCGCCCACCCCACAACAGGCTTTGTGAGCTTTCCCCTCTGCTTCTACTACCACAGAAACTAGTGTGAGCTATGAGTTGCTGAGGCTGCCAAGCAGTTGCTTATCCTTAAGGTTGGCCCTGCATCGAACGTTACAATAAGGTTATTGCCTAGTTCAACGGTTCTCAAACTGTGGGTCGGGACCCCAAAGTGGGTCACGACCCCGTTTTATTGGGGTCACTAGAGCTGGTGTTACACTGGCCCAGGCTGAACCCCAAGCCTCACTGCCTGGAGCCGAAGCCCGAGATCTTCAGTCCTGGGTGGAGGGATAGCTCAGTGGTTTGAGCATTGGCCTACTAAACCCAGGGTTGTGAGTTCAATCCTTGAGAGGGCCACTTAGGGATCTGGGGCAAAATCAGTACTTGGTCCTGCTAGTGAAGGCAGGGGGCTGGACTTGATGACCCTTCAGGGTCCCTTCCAGATCTAGGAGATTATATATTAATAAATGGAGATATACCTATTTATTAATTAATTAAGTTAAGTCACACATGGAGTTACCCAAAAACTCTCTCTAGGTTTGAGAGCCCAGGTTCAGAATGGGACAATTAACTCAGGCACCTCTGTTTGAAAAACTGAGCTCACAGTATCAGCGAGACAAGCTTTCTAAAACTTCAGAGAGGTTTTTCTAAACTGAGTTGGGCAGGATATCCTAATTTAAAATTAAGCTGCATTCCAAATCCCTTTGGGGCAAGATAAATAAGAAGTGGCTGTACTAATTCTTCCAGAAAATCCAGAAGCTCAGAGACAGTTTTAAGTTGATACTCCGTCCCATCTGTTGAAGCATATAATGTGTCATTTGGTTTTTAACTGTCCGAAGCTAGAATTACATCTCACTCTGTTGATTTATTGATGCCAATAACCTTTGACACAAACCTTAGCATCTTCCATCTGTCTTTTTCAATGTGATTCTCAGGACCTTCGCTCTCATAGGAAGCCATGTAAAGTGCTGCAATCAGAGGGAAGAATGACATATTAGTGCTACTGGCATTTTGAAAATTCACCATTCTCCTACAGTGTCCTAGCAGCAAAATAAAATCTCTTCATATTAGCCATCCATCAGATTATGGCTCCATAGTTCCATTACCAAGTACATCGTCACTCACAATTGTATTCAGTCAATACTAACAAAAAGTACATGAGAACAAAGACTATCCTCAGGGAAAAGAAGAAGAGCTGAGGAAACCTAAAACATAGGAAGATAGAAGCGAACACTTGCAAAAGAAAGGTTTGAGCTCAGAGCAATATTGCTTTTTGAACTAAAGGCAGAGTCCCAAATTGTTTTTCTAGCAGCATCCCCTAGGTCAAAACCTTCTTAAAGGCAAAGCAAATACATACACTTTGGATTATGTTTTTGTGGACTTGCTTCCCAATTCTTATTTGTTTTTCCATTACTTAAAAATATTCTTTTATTTTAAAGCAGGAAAAGGGGCCAAAGCCACGTTTCAGAGAACAAACACACTTTCAAAAGGTAACTTTTATTCCCTGGGTTTCTGTGGGTCCACTGTAACTTATAGATCATATTTAGATTTGTGTTCCAGGACTAGGTCGTCCTTCATCAAAGGGATAACTTAACACAGGAAGAGAGTGAGCAATATTTGGCACATAATCATTTGAAAAGCAGAGCACAGTGTATTCCTTACCATCTTCACTGAAGACTGGGACAGTGAGCAAGTACTGCAGGATCTTCCGATCCCTCTCAAACGGACACTCCACTTGCTTCCATGTCATAAACTCACTCACTTGTTTCGCTAACTCCCAAAATTTCTATAAATGGGGAGTGGGGGCAAACAAAAACACAAGATGTATGAATTTTAGCAATCTGCTTGATTGAACATAGATAAATGAATCTGGGTTTAAATTAGGCTAATTTCCAGTCAGACTTTCAAGCAGTAACACAAGAGGAGTGGAAAAACTGAATTTCTGTTCCTGGGGAAATTCCAATATTTAGATATTTATCTTTTGTTCCAAATTGAGACAAAACCCATATTAAAATATCACAACCTTTTGCAGAACAAAGTGTTTAGAAAAAAAGCCACTTTGGAAGTGTCTGGATGTTTCATTTTGACATTTTTGATCCAAACCGAACATTTTGATGTTCCCAAATTCAAATGTTTAGTTTCAGTTTGTTGACTTGAAAAGTTCAGATTTTTCCATCATGGAAAGTTCTGCTAAAATAGATATTTCCACATGTAAAATTCCAGTTTTGACAAAACATCATTTTCCAACAGTAAAATGTTTCATTTAAAAAGTTTTTCGATCAGCCTTGAACACCAGGGCATTCCAGATCATACGATTCAGGTTCAGAAAAGGTTACTGAAACTAATGTGCATCTATGTGCTATAGTATTTCCTACAAGTAGAAAGTATGTGTACATAATATTAATATATTGCGATCATGTATACACGCTCACACCACACGGAGAATTTAAAAAGCAGAACCCCCGAAAGACTGACTTGTACCACGCAGCTAATACAACACTCCACTAAGCAGTGGAATGCAGCAACTAAAGATGGTTGGGAATTAGAATTTCCATTTCATGGGAAATTCTGATGTTTCAAAAAGTTTGTTCCAATTTGGAAAGAAAGGCTGAAACATCAATATTTTCTGCGAAATAAAAGTTTTACTTCTAGTATATTAAAATATATAAATAGTTACATTAATATAATATAATATTTAAGTTTAGATAAAATGAATTGAAACTATCAAAACTGATCATTGTGACTTTTCCATCATCCCTATCTAAAAATTGGCAACATCGACACATTTCTACAAAAATGTTTTGATTTTGACAAATCTGTATTTTTTGACAGAAAAGCATTCTATCAAGATTTCGGACCATCTCTAGTAATAACTGGTACTAAACTTGTGGCCTAATTTTGTTCCCAATGAAAGCAGGATCAAGAACTGGGTTATGTTTTCTGATCAGGGAGTTAAAGGAGTGGCAATTAAGTAATATCCAGTTCTAAATAAAATGTTCTACTCACTTCAAAATTGACATGGCCGTTTGGAAGGCGATTGGCACAGCCCTCGTTGAGAAAGTAAATGTCTTTGATTAAGAGACTGAAGAAAGGTATCACGATCTAAAGAAAGAACAAGAGTCCACCTTCAGTAGGACACAGAATCGAGAAACAACAGTAGTACCACATGTATGAAAAATTAAATCACCTTGTATAAAAACTAAACATCATACTGAAAAGGCAAAGTCTGCAAGTGTTCCTTTCATCTTATGGGCATGCTGCATTTTAGAATACATGAAGTAAAGACAGTTATCACCCCACTCAGTCTAGTCTCTTTAGTTTCATCTTGGTTCCACCTCCTTTCTTTGACCCAGACTCCTTCCATCCACTGTGTCTCTGGAAAGCCTCTAGCGCTCTCAGAATTGCAGTTAATCTATCTGTTTTCATGGCCATACTTGTCACCTGAGCACACAATGTACATTCACTACCTCTGGAGTGACAGCTGTCTGCCTAACGTGCTCTGTTTCTGTTATAGTGGCCCTCATTAGTTTGACCTTTCCTCACTCATGCTTGCAGACTCTAGAATGTATACATTCAGAGGTACCTCACTTCTTGTTTGTGCATTATAAACAGGTATCTGGATGTTAATGCCCAAGTCAGAATACTGTGGAGAGCTGAAAAAAACACATCAACAGCGATAAAGCCCAAAGGGCTGATGGTAATGTTGCCATACGGAGGTCACTTCTGCAACCAAAGAGGAATAGTTTTTCCTATAGACTCTGCTCTATGCCCCTCAATCGCCTTTGAAGGTAGGACAAGAAGTAATGGATTTAATTTGCAGCAAGGGAGATTTAGATTAGTTACTAGGAAAAACTGCCTAACTGTAAGGATATTTAAGCACTAGAATAGGCTTTCAAGGGACATTGTGGAATCCTCATCATCGGCGATTTAATAACAGGGTAAACACCTGTCAGGGATCATCTAGGTATATTTGGTCCCGATCTCACAAAAAACAGGTCTCTTCCAGCCCTACATTTCCATCCTTCTATAAAGGCTCCTCTTTCCAACCCAGACAGGATCATATGACTCTGTTTCAGCCAATGGCTAATAAATGGAGCTAGTCAGGAATGATTTCCTGACAGAAAATGCAGTTCCTGAAAAATCAAAACTTTTCCATGGGAAAACTGAACAAAATTGAACTTTGTTGTGGGTCAGTTTGATCCAAATCAGAATATTTCATTTTGTTGAACTAACCCAAAAAGTTTAGTTTTGAAACAATTCAACAGAACTATTTCGCTATGGGGTTCTCGTTCTTTATATTGGGCTGGGCTCCCTGGAGGACTAAATCTGCCATAATACAATACAGATTTCTTTATGACCAAGCTTTCCGTGGCACATCGCTGGAGTCACAAGACTGGGTGCATCAAAGGAGATGTAGGTCTGGCTAGGGAACCTGGCCCATTTGGGAGAATGGTGGCACCAGGGTCCTGAACTAAAGCTCCCATGAAGCCATGCACCACAATGGGGGGGAAAGATTCCGGGTCAATTCAATAAACCAAAATGAAACATTTTGATTTTGGGAATGTCAAAATGTTTTCTTTAGCAAAAAATTTTCTTAAGTTTGATCATAACAGAAATTCTGAACTTTTTTGTCCCAATTTGGGACAAAAACAATTGTGGAAATTTGGAATTTCCAAATTTCACTCAGGTCTACAAATAAATATATAGGAATAAACTCTCTGGATTCCTGAATCTACATAATGTATGCAGGATTTTACACCTTGATTTGTATTCAAACAGGCTCTTAGCTCTCAAAACCCATATTTTATTTTTAAGTGCAAAACATGCATGAGCGAGCAGAACGTATAAGTATCATCCTGCCTTATAGTTAAATTTATTCTATAAGCACGAAGATCGGGTTTATTAATCCTGACATGCAGAGCCAATATTATAAGAAGTTGATGAATTATTTAGTAACTTGCCTCTAAGTGGAGGTAGGTTAGCAAGCTATTTGGCTCCTTTCCAAGAGAAATTCAAGGGATGCAACAAAGGTTCTGCATTAATGTATGTCCAAGTCCTGGTTATTTCTCAAACACTGGTTTATTGCGAAGAGGTTGTATCTTTCTTTGCCTCCATTTCTCAGTAATGTTACAGCTACTCTTGTGTTTCAAGAGAGGATTCTTGGCCTAACCTGATTAGGTCACAAGGATACTTCGTTATTCTTGGCTATTCACACTAATGAACCCCAGCAAGGCACCTTTAAACCTGAACTGGTAAAGGTCATGCAGAGAAGAGACGTTTAGAAGAATGTCTACATTCATGCTTGCGTTCCCCATTTTGACTCGAGTTGACTAGTGGACTAGAAATGCTAGTCTAGACATTCCAAACACAAACATTTGGGGTTTAGGACACAAGTGTTTGTGGTTTACCCTAGGCAGAGTCAAACACTGGAACTGGGTAATCTTTACACAATTTCCATCCCGCCTGCCCAAATCCCCATTTCAAAACAAGAGAAGAGGAAAGTAAAACTGAATAATATGCAATACAATGGCAGCAATTTCTTCCTATACTCATTCATCTAAGGCATTATTATTAAAATTAATCCTTCTGGATCTTATTATGCTACTGACCACTCTGATCCTGCAAGGCTGACCCACATGGACAAACGTGGCCATGCAAAATCAGTGAGGGAACTGGGCTTCGATATGATCTATATGGGTGGACATGTGCATAGGAGGACCCGGACCAGCATTATAATCCCACTGAGATCAATGGGACTATTTGTGGAGTACAGCACTTCTTAATATGAACACAAATAAAATCCCATGGGATCTGAAACAGTTTTTTGTTTTTACCAAAGCCCAAGGATACACAGCACTTTAAAACAGCTACAATGGTACTAAGCAGGGAGCAAACTTTCTGTCTAACACATCTTTGACCCAGGGCAATATGTGAAAGATACACCGAGCTTTTCCCTCCAGTGCATCTTTCATCCAAAAAGCCTCAGTCCATCTAACTGCTTGCACTCTCATCCTGTTTTTTTGTTTGTTTGTTATTTTGCTGCAAAGAATCTCTCAAAAATTGATCCTTTTGTAAAGCAGAATGAAGAGGAATTAAAAAAAAACAGCAGCAGTGTAAAATGGATATTTGTGTCTGCCACTGCAGGCAAAACAGAGACGGCAAGACAGACGTGTAGATAGAAATTTTCTTCGTGGGGTTTTTAAGTTGTTTAAAAAAATATTAAATAAGCCACTTTTTAAAAGAATAAGAGTAAAGCCTGTTGTGCATCCACTAGCCCAGTGGTTCTCAAACTGTGGGTCGGGACCTCAAAGTGGGTAGGGCTGGCTTAGACTTGCTGGGAGGCCCAGGGCTGAAGCCCAAGCCCCACCACTTGGGGCCAAAGCTGAAGCCCAAAGGCTGCAGCCCTGGGTGTCGGGACTCAGGTCACAGGCCCCCTGCCTGGGTCTGAAGCCCTTGGGCTTTGGTCTCCCCCTCCCAGGTGGCAGGACTCAGGTGGGCTCAGGCTTCAGTTCCCCCCTCCTGGGGTCGTGAGAACCCCTGCATTAGACTATTATTTATTTTTCTCATGTTTACCAGTCCCTATGGGGCACTCATCAAAATTTCCACTTTCTTTCTGCCTGTTCAAGACCTACATTAACATGAATCTGCCTCTCTCAGTGTATATCCCGCCTGCAAATAGCATGGAATGCCTTCAAGAGAGCCTTCTGCCTCCAATACCTATGACATTTCTCAGGGCTCTTCAGGTTCAGACTAGTCACCTTTGTACTAGCATTCATTGCCTGCAGATATGCTAACTGGCTTTTCCTGGAGGTGCTGGTCCCGAAAGGTCCTCTCCCAGATCTCCTTCCCTTCCACCGAAACACTGGTGTCCAGAGGAAGTGGGGAATGGAAGAAAAATCACTGGGGGCAATTAAAAAAAAGAAAGGATAGTGTATGAAATGCTCATGAAAGGAGTCAGATTGAAACTCCTTGAGACTGAATTTCATCTAGAGGGTGGCACACAGCATGAGTGGCACCAGTGCATGTTTCCTCACACTGCCCCACTATTGCTCCTTGGCTCTGATCTGGAAAGGACCAACAAATAAGGACAACATAGTAGCTCAGCCACTCTTCTTTTCAAACCTTGGCCTTTCCACCTAGACTGCTGACAATGGAACCAAAGTGCCATTTGTGATGTTCTCTCGGATGTAGGCACCTACCCACTGGGACCTGTGCTGAGACCACTAATCCTACTTCATTTAGGATATGAAGATAGTAACCCCTTTCAGTCAGTACGAACCTGGACTGGGCTTCCAGTTGAAATCATGAGGTGAAAGGATCTTTATCCCAAGCTCTCTAACCCTGTAAGATTTCCCATTTCTTTCCCTGTTCTGTTCTCAGATACCATACCAGAGGATAAAGTCTTGTTCTTGGTGATCCACTACACAAGCCTCATGGGAGGACAGAGACCCAATGTTGAGGCACATATTTTAAAGGAAGCTGACTGAGGTTGGTGCCTTAGAATTTGAATAGCTCGAGAACAGCTCACCACATAGCAAACGGACAGTAACGAATTGTGCTTGTTAATCTAAGTGATTCACGAACTACCTTCTCTCTGTTGCTATGCGCCGTCAAGGACCTCTGAGCTGCTCCACGCAGAGCGGTTCGGTAATTGTAAAAATTGCTAGAAGGGTCCATCTGATGCTAGAAGTGGGAAGAAATGTAAATAATGACCTTCGGAAATTTAGTGCCAATACATGTACAGTGCTTTTCACTAGAGAGGCTACGTTTAGAACCCAAGATGTCTATTGAATTGCATCACAAATGCCATCTTTAAAGTACAGCTAAAACAAATCTACTGCTCTGTGAGATCCTTACACATGGAAACTCACTTTTAAAGAGTGCCCAGTGAGCAAGTACAAATCAGGGTTTCATAGAAGCAATACTGTGCATCAGTCAGACTTGTCACACTTCCTCCCAAAAAAACACCTGTACTATCAACTCAAATTCCAAGGCTAAAATTCTGCTCTCAGAGCCATACAATGGGTCTCAAATCATAAGACCAATATCCGGCTCTTCCAGTGTGTGTAACTTGCTGTGAGATTAATAGGAGTTGCACACATGTACTGAGAGTCACATTTTCTACCATACAAATTGTTTGAAAAATCTCAACTGGATTGCCAATTAATTCAAGATAGTTAACACATTAGTAACAGCAAATCTGAATCCCTAGGGTAATACACAAATTTGTAACTAGAATGCTCACGTTGCCCTCTACAAATGTGTTAGCTACCTTGAGTTCGTTAGCAGTCAATGAACTTGAGATACAAAAACCTCCCAACTCTAGTGTACACACACCCTTAAGGGTTAAATTCTACCATTCAGATTTGAAAGCAGAATTTTTCTTGATTTATTTACTCTCCCACCACAACCACAACCCTATTGCACACCTCTAAGCTAAGAAGAATTACCCACAATTTCAAGTCCCAATTGAAAACATTTCAACTAGTTCCAGTTGGCAAGTAGGTTTTGCAATAAAACTGCAAGGTATATTGAGCGGCTGGCTCTTCTAAACCCAAAAGGGACCTAGCAGGAATTAACAGAGGCCAGAAGTCAGTTGAAGGACTCCAACAGAGTGCATGAATTTGCATAGGGACATGCACACATAAAATTTCATTCAATATCCAATAGGACAAGACCCAGTAAGACTCACAAGACAAACCTACTGTTGACAGCAGTGTGACCGCGTATAAGTTAAACATACCTCAAGAATGTCAAATTTGGCAGTCTTGACTTTTGCCCAGGTCTTCTTTAGCCGGGAGACCGGACTCATGTTCATACCAGCTTTATAAGAGAAAGACAATTTAAAAATTTAATAGAACAAAACTAGTGTAAGAAAAACAAAGTAACTAAGATTCAAAGTAATTCTACAATGAAAGTGCTATTAACAAAAGAAGGCTTTTCATAGGAGATATAGCCATTTCTAGGTATTTTTACTACCAATATATTTACAGTATAATAGAAACAGCAGTACCCATCAATTCTACGTGTTATTGATAGATCTTTATTTTTCCCTGTCTGGCTGGGAATGGGTTCCATGTATTTTAACCCCAGACCATGTCCAATAAGGGAAGGAGATTAATAAAAGGTATCCCATTATGATACTTTGGGATGAGAGTTTACTAAAAAAGTGGGTGATGAGATCTGAAAAGTTACAGTGTAAAAATTGAGGGCAACCTCATTATTCTCTTTAAAGTGTGGTCAGTAAATTTTCTGAATACAAGTCTGTGGACTTCTATTGCATGCAATGCAGTCATCAAGCCAAGCAACATCAGCTACGTCGTACAGAACAAATAGACCTCTCACTGGAAATCTAGAAGTAGGGGCTGCCCATGCTACATCTCACTTCCCCTATGCAGATGCAATGAGGCTAAGTGAAGGGTCACCTTTATACTCTTTCAATATATAGGGTATCTTTGACTATTATATACAATGGTCAGTGGAGCCTGAGATGACGACAACTCCTCCTGAAGTCAACAGGAATTTTGAGTTGCTTCAAAATGGGGATAGGTTCAACCCCACTACTCCAAACACTTGAGCATAAAAATAATTTTACACCTATAAGTAATACCATTCATCAGGAGGATTAGGACCATTGCCGAGAAGCCAGCATGCTCCAGGGAATGGGGCTGGAAGGTACTGAGCTTTTTGAAGCATATATCATCCAATGAGTCTTTTAAACACTAAGTCATCTCTCTCGTCCTCTCTTTTTAACGGTGTAATTGAAAGTAACGGTAGCTTGAACTAGAACACTCTTTTCCAATCTTTTATAAATGTATAATATAACAAAGATATTTATCTACTCTCCATCATTTCCTTCCCTTCCCACCCTGCTGGGTACTGTAACTAGAGAATAGGCTCCCATATTTAAGCATCCAAATGATGATTTTTTTTAAGCTTTAGATTAAAGACAAGGAAAAACTCTCCCATAAATCCCCAGCCTTTATACTCACAAATAATTGCCATTAAGGAGTTAAAGTTGCCAATGTTAAAACACTCCCTGGCCACGTCAATGAAATATTCTATCATTCTTGCTCTGTGCTTCTTCTTCACAGGCTGCAAGACACAAATAATAGTGTTATTCTTTAGCAGGAAAGGGAGACCTCCGTTGGACTCCAAAAAGGGATGACACTATTGTTAAACATCTCTTCTGTAGGTGCTGCAACTTCACACTGTGTTCTACAAATAGAGCAAGTGGCATTTCTTACTCCAAAACACTTCTGAGAGGAGAAAGACAAACCAAAGGAGTTAAGGAACTTCAGGACAGTGAGGGCCTGGGGAATTATTGGAGAAGGAGCCTTATGAAGGATTTGTGGATGGGAGGTATCTAAAGAAGAGAGAAGGTGGTTGATAAACAAGATGGGACAGAGGCTCTTCTAGGCATAAAGGAGAACATATGATGGTGGGGGTGTAGGAGAGTGGGAGAAAGCCAAAGGGAGAGTAATGAAGCTAATGATGCTTCATAGTTTCAAAAACAGAAAATTGTTGTGTGCGAAGGAAAGAGACTTGCTCACCATGCAGATTTCTGTAGCAACTAAGTAGCTGAGTCTGTTAAACCATTCTACATAGGCTTCCAGGTTACGGGTCTTCTTTCGATCAGCGTAACAGCTCTGAAGAAAGAAAGGGAAAACACAACCTCGTTAACTTATTCTGCATTCTTCCTTGAGAGAGTGAGATTCCTAATCTGTAACCTGGCCACCTTAAACTTTCACCCAGTCATAAGGTAAAAGTAGGGTCAATCGCCAAAGAAAACTCAAGGAGATGCAGAAAAAAGTGGTGTTGGTGACTCAGCAGGTGACATTTCTCTGAGGCCTTGATTCAGAAAAGCACATGTGCAGGTAGGTGCTCAACGTCAAGCACTTGCTTATGTCCCATTGAAGCACTTTGCTGAATCAGGACTAAAGCAATGCTGAATCATAATGCAAGGGGACACTGTGGTGCTGGATTGTGAATGAGATAAAATGGAGTCCTGACCACTCATTTGGCATGTCAATTCCAGCGTCTAAGCCCAAACAGCAGATTACATTCTGCCTTCTTAAAATTCTCCCAGTAATTTCAGCTGGAGTCTTATTCTTCCTTTCCTGTTCTGTGCTGTGCTATTAGGTAGTGCATTGGAACAGTTCCCACAATTCATCCCAGAGGGTCTGAGTAGCAGTGGGTGGAGAGATTTTC